TCACATGTCTTGCTGTTTCGGATGGTTTTTTTGAGTTGTGTCTGCCCAGTTGAAATGAATGTTTAGCAAAGCAACCACAAATTATCAACAATATGGTACCTCCAAACGTGTTAAACTGTGAAAAGCTCTTGTGTCCATTCAGGTCGCTGCATTATGTAAGTCGCCCTTAACCAATTTTGAGACTCAAGATGCAATTGTATCACCTCAAATTCATGCTTGCCTTCAAGATATTTTTGGAGCCCATTTTCAAAGTGAACAACAATCACCTATAAGCATAAAGGGGTTGTGTAGATAGGCGTCTACATTACTATAATAGGCGTCTACATTACTATATATATATATACATTTATATAATACTATACACAGGTGACGCACGTGTCGGAAAGCCCCAATAAAGATCCAATGATCTTGCCTCTGTTTTTTCTTTTTTGGTAACAACAGCAAAAGACACGTGTATATATGTTGCAGTGTGCATATATAGTCTTTTGATATCTTTTGCCTGATCTTCCTCTCAAAGAGTTGGTCGGTTTAGGGCCCATGGCTCTGTGGCTCTGGGGTCAAAACCAGGACCCCACAGATCCTCGGTAGGTTGACCATGTGTCGGGGCAGACCATCCTTCTGTTCATGTTCTGTGGGCCATAGTGGTCCACCGGTCGGTTTTGGTTGGTGACAACACCCTGGCTCCCGTTGGGCTCCCTGTCTGGCTCCCCGTTTTTGGCGAAGCTGGCATACTCCGGCGTGCATTTGGCATCGGGCGAAGCTCGGTCTCCGGAGGCGCAGCTCGCGCGGCGAAAGGAGAAGAGGAGGGGTGTTCCCTGGTGTTTGCAACTGAAAAAATGATGCACACTCCCTGAAATTATCATGGAAGTGGAAAATGACCCCAACAGTTTGACCATGTTCCTTTATTAAATAGGTGGTTTTCCACTTCCATGATGATTCCAGGGAGTGTACTGTCAGCCGAGAGCCATGCCGCGAGCCATGGACGAAGACTCCTGAGTCAGTCCGCCCTTGGTTGGTCGAAGCCAGTCAGGGCCCACCAGGCGCCACCAGGCGACCGACACTGGGCGGTCAGCCCCGGGTGAATGTGTCTCATACTGAGTAAAATGTGTGAAATAGAGATCCCTAGCTGCTTGTATAATTGCCATCCACTTCACCCTGAAAGCCCTGGTTGTCAGAATCAAAACACCAACATGTCTTGAATGAATTCCTGAATCCTCTCTTTTTCATCAAACCACAGGTTCAAGCTCTCTTCTAAACTGTGTTTTGCTGAGTGACGTCCTTGTTGCATCTTCTTTGTGTGGTTCCATGCTTCTCCAGAAGCCCTGGCAGGACCCGGTGGCTTCTCTGGCAGCATGCGTGGCTTCAGCCACGCCACTACGGTCGTCGCAGCACCGGGACGGCGAGGGGAGATCGTCCATGTCATCTCTGGATCACTGAGATGTCAGGTCCTCCCTTGCAACTCAAGTCATGTCGAAAAGATCCCAGGATCTGATGTCATGTCAACTAAAAGATCCTCAAGATGTCAAGTCATGTCATCTCTGTCGATCGATTCAGAAGATGTCGAAAACCAACCCAAGTCATCCCTTGAGCTGTGGACCCTACGCTACTAATTAGGGGCTCCTGGCCTTACTACGAACGGAGCAAGAAGCTATTTAGGAACAAGGTTCGCTACGAACGGGGCTCCTGGCACGCTACGAACGGAGCGATTGGATGCTACGATCCGATCCTAAGAAAGGGCATCGTCGACCCGGTGGACCCCTGGTGCACCCCTGGGCCCCTTGTCCTTGTGTGACTGGCAGTCTCACTTTGCTTCACAAAAAGCGACTGCAAATAGATCACCCCCAAAACGTTCTAGGAAAAGCGACTGCAAGGGGCACAATCTTGCATGGGATGGCAGGATAGTTGATGGAAAGGATCATGTAGACTGACTCTTGAACATAACAATGAACAAAAACACTGATATAGGTATATACTGTATATATAGTATATGAAAAAAAGAAAGACGTGTTACAATCATGGAGAGGTTTTATTCATCAGCTATCTTCCACTCGCAAATACTGCTCACCTTAGGTGGTCCATCCGAACTCTCGTCCCACAAGCCTCACACGTGCTGCGCGCGGAGCGCGTACTACACGCGACCCGCTGAAAAAAGATGGGAATGCTCGCACGTGCCGTGCGGTGAGACCGATGGAATTCTCGCCACAAAACATCTCCAGCCAAGTCGACCAATCTGATCCATCCAAGGGTTCAGGTTCACCAACACTACCCTCCCAAGGGAAGAAAACCCACTGAGATAGCCGGTTCATCAGGCACGTTCTTACATGCTAAAAATGGAAGTGAAAATCCACCCATTGTAGAGGAAATGGTCATCCAACAGGCCATGACATCCACTTCCATGATTATTTCAGCGAGCACATAAGATCTTTTCGGGTCAATTTTTAGGAGCTCAAACGCCCATGCCCAGCTTGATCATGACATGAAAACGAATCCAACCGACATCAAACATATTCTTTCACAAACCACTACGGTGACCTCATGACAAAGAATAGAAGACAAAGAATAGAAGGGGCCATATAGCGCATATGGGGAGCAACATGCCTGTCTCTTTGTGTCGAAGAGAGTCAGGAAAAAGAACAAATCGTGAAAATCAAACATTCCTGATACGTTTTGACTCAATAGGCTTGCCATTTGGCAACCTGCCGGCCATTTTGTTTGCACCAATCTCCAAGTCCGTGATGTCAAAGACAAGGACATGGTTGGGACAAGTTGTGGCTGTCCACAGCGACTTCGTAATACTTCGTAGATGGCACAATACTCGAAGAAAGTGCATTAATAATCTTTATATGATATGCATTAATCGACTCTCACGTAGATGTGGTGAACAAGCTGTGTCAACGGAGCCTCTTGTTCTTCATCTTCTTCTTCAGGCGGTTGAAGTGCACGGAGAGAGCAGGGTGGCGTAATGAAACTGTCGTGCTTTCTGCTTTGAGTCACAGAAATGTGCGACTGTCTTGCAAGACATTAAGAGTCGATGCACAAATTGTACACAACTTCACCGCGCCCGCTTGCGGGACCAAACAGGTTGGACGTGACGAAAAAAGTGGTGCCTCTCGCCATGAAGATGGGCTTACCAAGCAAGAAAGGGTCCAAGCGCTTTGTGTTAAGCTGGTGTTGATCCAATCCGTCGCTCATGTCTATGACCGAGGTGCCTGGTGCTGTTCAGAAAACGGGCGGCGCTTCAGCGACCCTTTGGCCAAACTGCTTCCTCTGACTCAGAAAATTCCTCTCAGAGAGAAACTGCCAAGGTAACCTTGTCTCCACCTGTCATACGGCGTGTGGACACTTGGGACTTAGCTCGAAGCTTATTGGATGAAATAAGAAATATCCAAAGACCGTCGGTGTATCACCGTTGAAGAATGAGGATTGGTCAGCCAAAATAGTCAGTCCCCTAAAACATCCCTAAACTACAAACGGAAAGGATAATTTTATAGAACCTGCGGGTTTGTAGACCTTTTCGTTGAGCCACCTCCATTGCAGTATATCTCCAAGATCTCTGGGAACCTCGGGATACTTCTTGGATGCTGATCCTTTCCAAAGTCCTTCAACCGCCCGTCTTCCGAAGGAAAGCACCCGCCCTGGATAACTGCCAAGAAGAGATTGAGCAACCGACGAATGCTGACGGATGCCACGAGCAGAATGGCTTCAACCGCGTCCGAAAAAATAAAACATGTCCCTTGCCGAGCCATCCGAACGGGTTCCACTTTGGAAGGGTCCTAAACGATGTTTTTGACCCAAGACTCTCATGTGGATGACATCATCCATACATGACATGACCCAAAACAGTTTGAAATGGGCTAGGCATGGCTAGGCCATGTTGTTGACTCACTATACATTTGGGAACCTCCAAAGCATGTCTCCTAGTTGGATCGGCAACTGTTTGAAGCAGTTCCGGCCACTGGTTTGGCGACGGCTGGCACATGGGCCACCTTCATTGGGCGTTTTCAGCTCCGCCGCCCCAGGAAGCGAAAAAAAGAATCCACAGATTTCGGAGGCTGGCCCTACATCCCGACGTGGTTCCTTTCGGAGCGGGGGAAAGGGGCGGAGCAGTGACCAGAGAACAAGCAGAATGGGAAGGTTTTGGAAGGAGCGTGTAATGGGTCCGTTCTTCAAAGAGGGGTCGAAGTGAGAAGTCCTCAATGTGTTCTTTAGCCGCCCCCCAAACCCCCAACCGCGCAAGGGGAAGCAAAGATGTCAAGGAAGGGGGTATTAGTGCCATACATAACGGTGCCCGAGAGCGTGACATGCCACAGGAAAAACAACGTGTGCCCACAACACTGACACTCAAAACGCTGACCCAAAAAAACGGCATGGAAGGGGAGTACAATTCCATGCATTAAACGACTATAAAAGCATAATATATGTATATATAATCCTGAATCCTGAGTACCTATTTAGAAAGCATAACCCCCACCCAAAAAAAAACACACACACAATGTCGGAAACCCGTAAATATGGTTTACATGTGCTTTAAATTACCACCCTTGAAAGCCACTACTAAACTACCAACATGGTCGAGTTTGGTGCAGATTTGTTTACTAGGTTCCCAGCGCAACCCTAACTGTCCACCTTTGTCCACCCTGCCTGTTCACCATGACACGCCGCGTGAGCACGAGGACGAGCGCGACAAAGACAAAGACGACAAAGACGAGCGCGATGAGGACGCGTCCGTCCCGCACAAAATTCATGGAAATTAACATATTGCAAAACCACGCGACGCGAAATACATACATCTACTATATATAATACGATATTATATTATTGACATGAGGCATTTCGTAATACATCGTAATACCGTCTTAAGTCAACTCGTCTGGATATAGTGTTCCAATGTGTTCCATTTTGCCGTGGATTCATGCTTTTGCTCTGCAAAAAAAAACATTTCTGGAATGGTGTTCCGTGGTTTTTCAGGTTGCCACATGTCCTGGCTGGTCCAAGAAGGTCTATTGTCCTTGGCGGCTGAAAACGCCCCAATGGTTTCGCGGCGGATGAGCTTCACCCGCGTTTTTGACGGATGCACCAAGCTCCTGGCCGACGAGGTGGGCTGGAAATCAAAGAAACACCACACGCAAGTACTAGATGTAGACTCTTGGTTCATCAAATCCCCCCTTTGGAATGTAAAAAACGCTGCAAAACCCACTTCGATTCATCATGAGAGATTTTAATCATCAAGAGTCTATGGTCGACCAATTTGGATCTGGCCTGTGGGCTCTTATTTTGGAGAAGATTCATTCATGGATCTTCTAGGTGCGTTCATGGTTTACCAATTCCTTGAGGGAAGTTTGATGCCCTGGGTGCTGATCGTTGGATGCTGAACAAAGCAACCTTGAGGCAAGTGGTTGAGGTTGGACAGGCTTCCCACCGAGAGGAACTGTGTCCATTGGGGGCACTTACCCGGTCGGTGCCACGTACCGGCGGGCACTGGACTTGGTTTCATCCACCGTTTTGAAGGGCTACGGACCCCAACTGTGTGGTTACTGACCTCTCTATTTGGAACCGGCTTGGTTACCTATTGGATCCGATTGGTTACTGACTTCCTGAGTTTCCCTGGAAAATAGAGATTCAATGAATTATATAGGTAACTAATATGATCAAACCCTTTTGCAACTGTTCTTGTTTAGCCCTCTAAGTCCCAGGAACATAAATAATAGGAACCAAGGCCTGGTTCCAGGAACCATCGGAACCAAGATCCTGGTAACATCCAGTTCCAAAAAAATAGGAACCATATTTTTAAGTAGCTTGTAGGAGGATTGAAAACTGCCACAACATCCCTAGGACAGGTGAGCACAGTCTAGAAACCAGTTGTTTTCTGTTTGCCGCGATGCGGACCAGAGACCTTCTGAGCACATTGAGCTCCATCCCTGATTTAGCACAAGATGCTAAGTGTACCAATTTTTTCACACTCTTCATCATATCTTCTCCTTGGAAGTTATGGTAAAACCTTGGGTTGTACTTCTCTTGAGGCACATCTTCCTGCATTTCATTAAAGAGATGGCTTTTAGGTAGGATGTGCCAGTGCAGTTCACTTTGACCTGCTGCTTGCCATGCACTTGCAGTGTAGAATAGTAGGGCGCTCTTGCCCACAAAGTGTAACTGGTGAGCTTCCTGGTCGGATAGGTAGCGGCCAAAAGTTTCGCATAGCAGCTGCCACTCTGCAAAAGTACACCTTTTTGGGGATCTCAAGATCATGGGGAGTTATGCCGTTATATTTGATGAATTACGGGCCTTACAGGTACCGAAAACTTGTCAACAAAAGTGTCCAAACACCAGACAAAGTGACACACAACCAATACCTAAAGCCCACAGCTGACGTCGTTGTTGATAGTTCACACTACCAGCATCCTCACATCTGAATGGCGCCAAAAGTTCATCCAGGGAAGAGCTCAAAGCATCCTGCAGTGGACATTAAGGAATCACCAGCAGGTGTTAAACTCTTAAACAAAAAGGGATCTACAGGCCTAGCTACAAACAACGAAACCGTATACATCACTCATGCAAGCATCAGCCAGGAACGCCAAAATGATCCTGGCATTGTAAGCTTTAGTCACCAGTGTGGGAAATTGAGGGCCAGATGAGTCCATCAGGTTCAACTTCTTGACAGACCACCTTCTTTGGCTACACGTGATCTTCTTCTGTTGGCACCAAAATTTGAAGTCGTTGTACAAATGCGCCAGAGCGTCCTCCAGACTACAACCCCATCTCTTCTCCATGTTTGTAGCTAGCATCAAAAGCCCTTCTGCATTTGCAATATGATATAGTCCAAGTTGATTGGTATGCATGGCACACCATTTCCTGAAGGAGGATTTTGTCAATATCCGCTAAGGTGACTACAGGCAAATAAGACCACCCATCAAAACTACATCAAATCATGACAAAACATGGAACACTGTTTCAAGGGAAGTATCAGCATCTGGACATTAAACATTACCCATACAGACCACATTCAGAACGAAGCAAGCCTGGGTATTCGAGCAGCATCACATTTGAAGCAAATTGCTCCAGACTTCCAATAATGTTGAAATGTTTCCCACAATTCAACATGCCATTTCCAATCCCCCTTTATCTCCGTCACACAAGATCTCAACTTCAGTGTGGGGGATGTGCGGGACAAGTCCTCCTGGCGCTGGGTGAGGGTGAAGGGCGAAGGCAACGGCGGCCGAGTACCCATCAAACATAAATTCAAAGACCATGTTGCACGTCGTAGGATAGGTCTCAACGTATCCTTACCCACCAGAGACTCCAAAACCAAAATTCAAGTGGAAATATACAACCCTGCAGATACAACTATATCTGGTAAGCAGTATACGCAACTACAGTAAACTAACCAGAAACCTAGAAACCCTGGTTCCATATAGTCGTCCATCAAAGCTGTAGTTTAAAACAACTGAATTGTACACCAAAAGCTGCGACTCCGCCAGTCCCACACGCAATGGCCGAATTGACCACGAAGAAAAGCCAGTTCTTTTCCCAAGCAGCTCCTAGCATGCCAGACGCTAGTAACTACTGGGCCCTTGCTACACCAAAAATGAAAAAACTCAACATCACGTATATAGTATGTGCCCGACCTGATCTGACCAAAGGCGATTGGATCACCAATGCGATGAACTTGTCGTTTTGATCATTGAACTTGGCTTCATCCCCATACAAAGCCAGTGGCAAAGGAAGTGTATCACCTTCCCTTCCAGGATGTTGTGCAACCCACGAAGCGACAGAGGCCCAATGCTGCCAATATCTCCTTTGACATTTGGGTTTATTTGGTGGAGCACTTCCCCAACCCCCAAAGTAGCACCACCAAAACAAAATGTTTTATTGTGCAGAAGGAAGAGTCGCTATTTGCAACTTGTCAACTGCCAGCCGCCCAGAGCAATGCAAGTACTCTAGCAGTTCATGGGGATCAATCATATAGAGGGTCCTTTCCACAACTTTGTCACTATCTGGAGCTTCCAAAGTAGGAGCCTCAACCTTGTTAACATCGACCGGGAGCCTCACAAAGCGAAACAAATCCCTATGGGTATTCCATTGGCTGAACGCAGCCACACGAGCCGTGACTGGATGTACGTTGAGCCGGCCAGCTTCCTTGCAGGGGTTGAGCGGACATACAGGTTGTTTTTTATCTTATCCTTTGCAGCATACCCATCTAGAAAGATACGCTCTCCCAAAATAGTGGATGACCTAGTGCCCAGTCCTCAACACAGGCTTTCGCTTGCCGCACTGCCCCAGCAGCACTTTCACCCCCTTCCCCAAGACGGTTCAGCCTCAAGAAACAAACTAATATATATTCGGTACGTGTATATATAAATATATAATCATAATGTATATCTGCTATCAGCAGGTTCCTGGACCACATGTCATATATGTTTTAATTGTTCAATCAATGGCACAAGTCTCTTCAAAACTGCCAAGCAACAAGTCTGAAGCAAAGGCTGCTTCTCCAGTTCGCTGGGGAGCAGCTTGATCTGCGCGGGGCTGTGCAGGGATACTCTTAAGCTTGTCATGTTAAATACCGACGTCTCATGTCTACGATGTTTGAGGTTGCCAGTAGGCTTACTGCAGCTAAGTTGTTTGTCTCTACCCTTTCTTCCTGCGTCGACAACGCATCACCAGGGATGCAGCAAATTGCCCACGAGAAGATGGGGGTGGGCGACAACAAACCAAGGAAGAGTCCTGAGACCTGAAATCTTATAATTCAAAATTGGCAACTGATACGATGAGCATTATATTTGTACAACTTGTCTGCCCCTTCTACCCAACTTCATGTGGAAAGATTTGGAACGATGCAACACGTGCCACATGCCCCTAAAAAGGCAGTGCACTTGACAAACAAAATCATTTCAGCTCAAGCAGTTTTCGCTTTTGCTTTTGCTTTCGCTTTACCTTTGGCGCTTGGATCTTTCGGCAATTGCGCCCTCACTGCAGTACTGACCTTCTTCATGCGCTCAATGGCTTTCCCAATCTCCTGGCTGAAATTCAATGAACAAGAATTATGGGAAACTTAATACGCTACTACTCTGAAAGTGGAGTGTCATTGATCTGGGATTTGAGCCCAGTACTGATAGGGCTTCTTGCTCACCAGTCTTGCTGGCAAGTGCAGCCACCACAAGATCCTTCGCATTGTTGAGCCCGGTAGTGGTGCTCTCAAGGTCCGACAGCAAGGCACCGTGGTAGTGGCTGGTCCTGATAGGCTTAAAGTGTTGGGTAGGAGGGCAATTTGGCTAGGTTTAGCATCTAGGCATCAGAATCAGGTTAGCTTATGCCAAGCAACCCTGAAGGGCAACTCTTGAGATCCAAACTGAGCCGCCTGGACTCTGTCAAGAGGCGATTTGCAGTGTTGTTCACCTTGTGCCCCCGACAAACACCAAAAACAGGGAAACAGCAACAAAAGCAAATTCACAAGTTTAACTTCATGAAGCATATATGATTGGTTTGTCCAAATGACCTGCTGGAGCTTTTGCTCAGGTGTTTTTTCTTTTGGAACTCTTGGAGGCTTCGGCTTCGGGATGGTTGTTGGATCCTGATCACCCTGGCCATTGGGAAGCCTAGGAGTAACACCACCTGTTCCACCACCATTGGGCAAAGACGGTCTGCATCCCTCGCTGGCTTCCTCAAGAGCAGCATCCCTTAGTTGGGAGGAAAGGTTGAAAGTATCAACTCTCATGTGTTTAAATTTTGGGCGCATCCAATTGCCTGCATCTATACATATAATATATATATATATATTCATATCATGTTCGGAACAATTGAACTCCATCATGGTTGAATTGAGGCACACAGCATCAAACCAGCTCTCCTCCTCAACCTCACCTTGTCGAACGAGATCTGCACTGGTTGAGTGTGTCTCCCGATGCTGTTCTGCAACACCAGCGTAATTTCGGTACCGCCAAAGGTCTTGGTTGTTTGGAAAGTCTGGGTTCCTCGGGGCGCTCTTCAGAGTGATTCAAATTAATGTTCTCAGAATCATGATCACAAAAGGAATCAGAAGACACTTCACTTGACTTGAGTTAAGCATCTTCTTGATGAACCGCCCCTT